CGCGGGTCCCTGCGCCCACGGAGGCAGGTGAGAGCGGCGGCCGGGCTGCTACTGCGTCGCACCTCCCAGCGCCGGGATCGCTCACTCCTTCCCACCCGCTCTCCCCGGAGCCTCCTCCCTTCTCCCCTGGCCCGGGTGACCCGATGCTTGCCTGCCAATGTCTGTCGGCGGGCAACATCCCACTGTGGCGGGGCCCTGAGGGCGGCAGGCTTCTCCAGGGGTCAAGGAGCAGCATTGGGTTGGAGGCAGGGGTTGCCTGGGCTCATGAGGCCCGGTAAGTGGGGAAGGTCCGGCAGGGGTAGGGGCAGGCTGGCTGGCTGGCTACAGGTTTGCCGGTGTGGGCCTGGGGGAGTGGTGACCTGGCCCAGCAGGAGGTAGGCCCCGCCAGCTGCAGGAGCTGCGTGGGATCGGGGCTGGGGACTCAGGAGGAGGAACGGCCAGGACTGGTGAGCCAGATGCTGAGGGCACCACCAGGACCAGGCCTTGGCCCTGCATTACCAGCCTTCTCTGCTCACCCAGGTGCTCTGGTGGCGTAGTGCCTAAGGCATTTGACTGCTAACCAGAAGGCTGGCAATTCGAACCCACCTGCCATTCCTCAGAAGGAAGATTGGGCAATCTATTTCCATAGTGAAACCACCGCAGAAACCCAAGGGAGGGTGACTGTGAGTCAGATCGGACTCCATGATAGTGAGTTTGGTGGTTTTTTTGCTTTGTTTTTTTTGTCTGCTCATCCAGACTGTAGGAGCTCTGGTGGTGTAGTGCCTAAGGCACTTGACTGCTAACCAGAAGGTTGGCTGTTCAAACCCACCAGCCACTCCTCTGAAGGAAGGTTGGACAATCTACTTCCATAGTGATACGGCTTCAGACACCCAAGGAGGGGTCACTATGAGTTGGATCTGACTCCACGGCAGTGAGTTTGAGGGTTTTTTTGATCCAGACTGGACTACGGAACAAAGCAAAACCACTGCCCTCAAGTGGAATCCGGCTCACAGCGCCCCTAGAGGATAGAGCAGAACTGCCCACAGGGTCTCCAAGGCTGTCAATCTTCAGGGAAGCAAAGCCCAAACCACACCCACTGCCTGGAGTCCATTCCGACCCACAGCGCCCCTAGAGGACAGAGTGGAACTGCCCACAGGGTGTCCAAGGTTGTCAGTCTTGGTGGAAGCTGACTGCCTGCCTCATCTTTCCCCTGCAGAACTGCCGGTGGGTTCGAACCACTGACCTTTTGGTTAGCTTTAACCATTGCACTACCAGAGCTCCTCAGCCTGGACTACCCAGCAGAAATGGGGAGGGCTGCATTGGCGAGGGCGGAGCGACATGGAGCTGACCCAGCAGACCTGCCCTGAGGCCCTGGGAACTCAGAGCCCAACAGCATGAAGGGCTGAGCTGCCCACCTCAGCCAGCTGCTGGTCAGGTCAGCCGAGCCTTGACACCAAGCCCAGAGGGGGCCTTTGCCTGGGGGGAGGAGGGGTGCCTGAACTGGGGAGGCCGGAGGATGCTTCTTAGGGAGGGGAGACAGGAGGTGCACAAGGCACATTGTAGAGGACAAGAGGAGAGGGCTCCCCAGGCCAGGCTTGGGGTGCCAGTCAGCACACAGGCCTCTGGATATGGCTGGGCTGCAGCAAGGGCTCAGCTGGCTCCAGCCCTGGCCTCTGCCCACGAGAAATATCTGCCCTCTCTGCTCTGATCCTGCACAGACCCTGCGTGCCACCAAGAGCCCCCTCCCTAGTGTCGCCAAGCTGGGGATTTTAGTACAAAGAATCTGGCATCAGGGAGACTCTGATGGGAGCCATGTGGCAAGACCACCAGGGAGTGGTGCAGCTGGGGTGGGAACGTGGGGGCCAAAAGGGCCTTTGATGGGGCCTGGGGCATGGGTGACGTCCCGGCGGCTGCACCCAGCAGGACAATGAGGCTGGGACCGCTGCCCGGGCTGAGGGTCTGGTGTCACGAGCCCAGCAAAAGAGCCTTTCTTTCCGATCTGGAGGGTGGGAGACACAGGGGGTACTCTCCTCTCGCTTGGTGCCAGGGGGTGTGTGTGGCGTGGTTCAGCTTGCCCCCCCCCACTTGGCTCCAGGCCCATTTCCGCCAGCTCTCCCCCCCACCCCCACCACGGCCCTTTCTTCCAAGCCCAGAGGAGGGAAAGGCCGGTCATGAGGCTGCAGAGGACAAAGGGTCACTGAGGAGCCCAGGAGAGGGCTCCAGACCGGGCAAGCCCCCGCCTTGTCCACCCAGGCCCTTACCTCCCCACCAGGCCCGACCTGGGGCTCCCGCCAGCCCAGGCAGGGGTGGGGATCCACCAGGCTTCGAGGATCAGGCCGAGGGAGCAGTGGAGTGGGCCGACCTCAGGGAGTTGGCTCAGTGGAGGGCCCCCTTGCCTGCACCAAGAGAGGGAGGCATGGAAAGGGGAACAACCAGCACGAAGGCACAGAGCGGAACCAGATGTAAGCTGGGCTCTGAGGCGGGAATTCTGTTGTCTGGGCGCAGGGGAGGTGCCGTGGGGAGGGCCCACTTGGCAGAGGTTCCCTGCACATTCCTTTGAACTGTCTCAGACACACAAAGGAGGGGGCGGGGTGATCCCAGCAGCTTGGGAAGCGACTGTTTGCAGTATCTTGGAGAGCCCCTGGAGGCATCTCCTCCCTCCCAAGCAAGGTGTCTGTCTCCAAGTCTGTTTGTCCTGGTCTTGACTTTCTTTGTAGGTTACCACCGATTGATCTGTCTCTAGGTGACAATTTGTGTTTCCTGGTTGTCTGCCCCGTACTGGCCGCACTACCTTGTGACTTGCTTCTCCCACTTGTGTCTGTGAGGTTTCCCCATGTCGACATTTGGAGCTGTGGAAGTTCCGGTACGATGGCAGAATAGGCAGACAGACTGCACAGACCCTCTTCAACAAAGAAAAGGGGAACCAATTAACACAGATACAGAAGACAATCCTGGAGCCCTAAGCTTTGAAGTGAAGGATATAGAAGTGGACTGAACTCCAACTAGTAGAAGATTTTACATGAAAACACCAAAAAACAAGACATACGGAGCTGCGGTCTGGCAGCGATCCTGATGGCACAGACAGCTTAGAGATTGCCAAGTGGTGTTAGGACGTAAGAATTAACCTAAAAATCAGCTCTGCTAGCCAGGGACTGCACGGAGGACTGCTCTGCTGGCTGGGGAATAAAAGGGAAAGCAGCGAAGAGGAAGGCGGGCTGAGCTGTGGACTTTAGTCTGTCTGGAGGGTGCAGCCATTTTGAATGTTTACAAGCAGCTTAACCATTTTGGATATTTAAAGTGACAGTATTCTTCCAGATTCCAGGGACTTAAGAACAGGCTTCACTTGCTGGGAACCCCAAGGACATTCCAGACCTGGACTACTGGAAAGGTGCGTCATTCCCCTTGTTACTCATACTCCACACCCCACACCCTCCTGGTGAATGGAGTGCGGCCATCCCTCACTCCCACCCACCTTCTGGGCTGGCAGGAATCCATCCCAGTCTGTGTGCTCAGACAGCCTGGGTGCTCTGCCCCCATGTTTTTTTTTTTTTTCTGTTTTTTAGTTTGTTTTTGTCTGTTTTAAAACTACTACTATTATTATTACTTTTGTCCTTTTTACTATTATTCTTTATTCTTCACCTCCCAGGTTCTAGATTTCAGGTTTTTTTCTTTCCTCTGTTCCTGGTTGCAATCTTTTTTTTTTTTTTCTTTCTCGTGGGTAACCCTGTTCCTTGTTTTTCTTTTTGTGTTTTTCCCCTTTTTTTCTTCATTATTCTCTTTCGCTACCTTTTTTCTCTTACTGCCCTCTCCCCAGATATTTCAGGGATTTTTTCTTTCCTTTTCTTCTTTTTCCCTTTTTTCTTTTTTTAGTTACTATTCCAGAGTGATTACATGGTGTATTTTTTGTCCATTTGCTTTTACTTTTTTGATGGTTGTTCAGTTATTATTTTTGTCTAACTGAGTGGGAGACAGCAACAGTCCGCATATGACAAACTACACCCACACCTCCTGCAGCTTCACTTACTGAGTGAGAGCCACCACTTTCCTTCTCCACTGACTGGCCAATGATAAACAACCACAAAGAAAAGCCTCACTCACCCTTGGCTGCTCTTCACAAACAGTTAACAGAGATCTAAATGCAATAACGCCACAATGCCTCGGAGACAACAGACCATCACAGTCCACACAAAGAAGCAGGATAAAGTGGTAGAAACAAGGGAGCAGGATACAGACCCCGAACATATCTCTGAGGATGAAGCAGCATTGGAACTCTCTGATAAGGAATTCAAAAGAATTATATATAGGTATCTTCAAAGGATTGAGAGACAGACCAAAGAAAACACAGAAAAAGCCCTAGAAGAATTTTGGAAGAAAATACAAGAACCAAATGACAAAA